TTCAAAAATCTCCCCCCCCCCCCCCCCCCGGGAAAAAAAAAAACAACAAAAGAAAACAATTTAANNTCAAAATAGGGCTCAAATAAGGCATATTCATGTGACTCAACAGCTTGGATTGACTTGGGCTAAAGTCCAAAGTTGCCCGCTATCCACAGCAAATATCACTCCCATTTATGTGCAAAAAAACTCGTAAATTGTGAAAACAACTTAAAATCTTATTTGTTGCATTAAACAATGATTAAATTATAGTAGTTAACTAAACACAATAATTTATCTACGGTAATGCTATCTATAGTCGTTCTCTATCGTAGTCGTCCTATGTGATTTACATGTAATGGTTAGTGATTTGATACATTAATGTGGTAGTTTTTTAGTGCATTATATGTCAAATCACCAACCATCACATGCATACTACGTAGGATGACTGTAATAATGAATTGCTGCAAATAACATTAATCTTTATCTATAATCCCACATGCTTTATTTTTATTTTCCTCCATTGTCATGATGATCTTAAAACACCATTTTTTACTAGCCGCCTCGCCTTTTAATTATTAATAATTCTTCAACACACACCATAGCTATATGTATTAATTTCATAATAAAGGGGAAGAATGTGGAGAAAGCAACCAAACAACAAATTGCCCACTAAGGGCATGTTTGGTCGGTAACATTGATAAATTAAATCATACAATTAATATTTAAAAATAAAATAAAATAAAATCTTCATTAATTGCGTTCAAGATTGTTAAATATAACATAGATATGTCCTAAGTGAACTGCCTGTTTAAACTCCATGGAAGGTTTACTAAATAAATTTTTAGTAAGTAAACATCTGATCTCTTATTAAAAAAAATGAAAAAATAAAAACTTGCAAGTAAAGAACACTTAGTTTAAAATAGTTTACTGCAATTCGAGAGTTTTGCTCACTTAATATTATAGGATTTCCTAATAACTAAAAGGTTTCAATACGCTTTAGCTCCTATTTAGCCCTCATTAAATTTCATTTCATTTCATTTTTCTTTTTCCTATTTTCAATCACACAATTTTCCATAATAGAATAATACACGTAAATTGAAATTTTTTTCTTCTTTAACAACTATTCATTTTTCAAAAAAAAAAAAAAAAAAAGAAATACTATTCGACTCATTTTCATTTCAAAACATGGGGTCCAAAAGGGACTTAATATCCAATGCATAGTACAAAAGGGGTAAAAAAAAAGTCGAATTATTCTTATTGTACAATCGGAATTGATAACCCCGGTTGACAATGCATTCACAGGAGGAGAGATCTACTATTTTTTTATTCAGCGTGGACCTCCTCCCATGTGTCTAATTATCAATCGAGATTGTCAACCCTAATTGTATACATAGCACAATTGAAAAAGGTCAACGGTATAGTATAATTAACCACTGTTGCATGTTCATATTCAATAGAAATTTCTCTCTCTCTCTCTCTCTCTCTCTCTCTCTCTCTCTCTAAATAATGTTGTTGATTATTGCACATCACACTTTACCTAAAAATTAATGTTTGTTATGTTGACAAATCTAAAGACTTTCAGAATGTTTTTAAACTTATGTACCCTACATAGTACAATCCAAAATCAGATTAAGTGGAAAATATATTCTCATTAGGAAATTTGTTCAAACAGTAGAAAACTAAAGACAATCAGCATTTATTATTAATGGCTGGCAATGCCTACTGGCCACAAGAAGTTAAAACCCTTCCAATAAATATAAAGAAAATGTAGTCCCCTACTTAGGTCATGTTTGGACAGGCAATAGTCCATTTCATATTTAATGTATTCAAACTAAGATCCCCAACATCTCACATGGCTTGCGTAGACTCACATTATCAAGACATGGTTAATAGTACTTGTGAGTAAAAATATTTCAAAGCATGGAGAGTTTGCAGTTGTTCAAGGTGAATCTTGTTTACTAAGAGTCAAAATATCGACTGGATTTAGGGTTTTTCAACTTATAGGTGTCGACGAATATGAGTACATATGTATTACACGTATATGCTCATATCTATATAGTTATTACTTTTCATTATTTCTTTGTTATTGTACCTCGAGCAAATTCTTCCTTTAGCTCCTCACTCTATGCGATATTAGCAACGTGGGACGGGAACCAAAAGTAGGAATTCTGTGAAAAATAAAATCCTACTCCACCTAAAAAAAATATTTTCCTTGATTTTGAGGAAAATTTGATCACGTGACCAAAAGTAGGAAAATGTTTTCCTTAGAAAAAATGGCAATCAAACAGTACAAATGTAGGAATTTGAATGAAAAAACATGTTTTTCATGAAAAATATTGACAATCAAACGCACTCTAACTAAAAGATGAATTCTCTAATACATAAATGACTTCGTGATCTCATTTTCCACTGCATAAAAAGTATCAAAACTCAACTCTCAAACAAAGCAATTAAGATGAATTTGCTTTGAGTTTAAGTTCTCTCGAATTTTGGAAGTGGCTGGCTAGGGTTTGCTTAAAAAGATGTAGCCACTTTTGACATAATTAATTCTCCATATTATAATATAATTACATAAGTGTTTACTTTTTACTAAATATTCCAAATCACTTAAGCTTAAAGGCAACATTTTAATAAAGTTTGAGGTTCTTAATAATGTCAATTATTTTATTAAAGCATCTTAAGACTAATCTTCATGCTGACAGATCCGACTTTCTAAGTAGTATATAAAAATATTGATGACAACAAGATCTTAATAATGTCAATTATTATTATTATTATTATTTTTTATAAAAGCAACTTCTAATTACTTTTATTTCAAAAATATATTAAATGATCAGTTAACAATTGAAGATGCAGGAGCCTATGAACTTGTGAATTTTGCTACTTAAAATATATTTTTGATAGTTAAATATTTAGTTGTTTGCTATAAGTGGAATTTTATAGGCACAAAGCATTATAAAAGTTAATTTTTACTATTTGTGTGTTATTTTAATATTCGGTTTATGTTAAATAATTTTTAATTGATTTTTTTTAATATTTAATGCAATGGAACTGCTTAATTATTAATTAAAAGAAAAGATTGCATTAGAGATCCCTAACCTTTGTTAAACGTGTAAATGGATTCCTAAATTTTACAGCTTGAGTGTCATCGTTAAATGGGCATGCATGTGAGGATAAAATAAATAGACACTAATGATTTTATCAATATAAATAAAATGAAGAGAAAAGGAATCCGATGGGCTGTGAGTAACGATGGGGCCCTGCAGAGGGACGAGACAATAGGGAAACCCGTTTAGGGTAGATAGTGCAAATATTTGAAGTTTGGAGGCCTGTTTGCACGTTTACAAAGGTTAAGGGTCTCAGGTGAAATTTTCACGAATTAATATTGAATTCAGAAAAATAATTATAATTTTTTAATGGGAAATTATTTATTTATCCAGTTTTTATTAAAGATGAAAGTGACTCCATACTTATGGATTGATATAACAATTAATTTATTCGTACAAAGTAGGTTGACAAAGTTCGTTAACAAAATAAGTGTTGACAAGATCTATGCTATTGATTTGTTTTGATTTCAAAATTTGGTTTTGAAATGAGTGATATAGATATTGTCAACTCATGTTTTGTAAACTTCATTTGTACACATAACATCACCTGATATAAACTCGACAACAGCATGTTTTAGGTAAACATTAATTTTTCCAAGTTTAAAATTATTTTGTAAAATGTAAATAAGGAAAGAACAAAGGATGGCCATCAATATACAATTATAAGTCAGGTTGTTTACATTGTATATTTGTATTTGTAGCCAAGAGATTAAGGCCGTTTAAGGTGATGGTAGAGGGACAACGGAATCTTTAATGAACACCTTTATTTGATTTTATGTTAGTACTAATTTTGGTCCTTAATATTTACATGGGAAAAGCCCCCTCCACCTACCCCTTTGCACAAGGTCTGTATATAGACTCTCACATGGGGGTGGACCCCATGTGTGTGTACCTGTACAGACCCTGTGCAAAAAGACTTGCATAGGTAACACAGTCCTATTTACATTTTAAATGTCAAAATCTATCAATCAATGATTTGAAATGTTTTGTGATAATTTTGAAAGTTTGTTTTATTGGACGAAGTCATTTTTTTTTTTTTTTTTTGTGAAACTAAGTTAATGATATTCGAGAAAATATTAACTATTGTTGGTTGATTAAACTTATCCTAAAATGACTTGCCAAGTAATTGACTTATACTTCGCAAAATCAATAGATCTAGTGAAGTGTCCAACATGTCTAACTAATTAATTATGAGAAAAATTAAATCGCATACGTTCGATACCAAAGTAAAAATAAGAACAAGGTTTTTACTTATTTATATGAATGTTTTAAAATCAAAGAAAGTCTTTACACGATGGGAATTCATACACTTCCACTTAATCCATATAGCCCTTCTCCAATAGGAAACCCTTCCAATTCTATCGATGGCCTTATCGTTCGAGTGATTCAAAATTACGAAATTCATATCTACGAAAAATATAAAAATAGCAAAAACCTACACTATGTTGTGCAAAAGGTCATTTTTACATCCATTCAAATCTACAAAGATATTTCACTAAATTAAAAAAAAAAAAAAAAAAAAAAAGTCCATTGAGTGCCTCCTGGTACCTCATAGTTATGTCAAAATAAAAAATGTTACTAAACATTCATTGATGATGTCAAGTACTAATTTATGTCACAACTGCATGATATTAAATGATAGATTCATTTAAATACAATGTCACATGATTCATTTAATTGGACATATCAAGTGTGACCACTTAAACTGGTGCTCTAACATCACTAGTACTAAATAATATTATGCTATCAAAATAGATTTGAACCCTTGACCTACGATCATATTGGCGTCCTGATTATAACAAAAGAAAATAGACCAAAAAGTGAAATTTCATGAGCATGTTTGTCATCATAGGCAAAAAAGTTGAAGTTAAAAATAAAGTATTTTACTAGTAGAGTCAAAATTATTTTACATCATCCAAAACCAATGAGAAGTGCCCTTAAAATATCACCACCACCACCTTTGATGTATAATTAACCACGTGGCGATCCACCAAAACCTAAGCAACATTGCCGGCCCCTCTTGGTCCTAACGTAAAGATAATAAAATATAAATACCTAAACTAAGGGAGCATTCTTTTTACACATGAATTTGTACTCATCGTTACATTTGCTTAAATTAAAGGTCATAATTATTTATCAAAAATACTTGTCAAATTCATGTGTAGAAAGAACCTTTCCCCCGAAACAATACATACAAATAAATAAATATCATTATACAGGAATATTTACAATAGGAATATAAATCATAAGTTGGTTGGGTAAAGGGAATCGAGGGGCGGCTGGCTGGCTTGAAGTAGACCTATTTTACCATGCTTCGAGGTGGGCGGGGTGGAGGAGGGGGGCTTACTTGTTAGAAAGAGACCTTTGGTTGCTTCACCTCCTATCTTCCTGTTCCGCAGAAATATTTCCACGCATACAAACTGATTATCTACAGAGAAGAAAAGATAGAGAGAGAGAGAGAGAGAGAGAGAGAATGGGGAATTGTCAAGCTGTTGATGCTGCAGCACTTGTGATACAACATCCAAATGGCCAACAGGAGAGAATGTACTGGCCGGTGTCAGCAAGCGAGGTGATGAAAATGAACCCAGGACATTACGTTTCTCTCATAATACCTTTGCCAGTCGACGGAGAAAGAAATTCGGATGACAAGACGGTGCGCTTTACGCGTGTTAAGCTTCTCCGGCCAACTGACACATTAGTTCTCGGCCGAGCTTATCGACTGGTCACAACACAAGGTGAATTCATGATCTGCTTCATCACCCGTAATAAATCGTACCAACAAATTCTAGATACCCTTTTTTTCCTTCTGTAGTACCGTCCAGTGTTATTCAATCATCTTGACCTAACATGAACTGGAATTTTTATTCAATTCTTTGTGTGTACAGAGGTTACGAAAGTGTTGAGAGCAAAGAAACACGCGAAAATGAAGACAAAACGGCCGGATTCAGCAGAACAAACTCCAGTGGCAGAAATGCAGAATCGTATCTGCGAATCCGAAACTGGAATATCTGCAGGGGAGAAGAATGATGAGGTAAATTCGATTTGCTTCAATAAAGTTATATGCAAAGAAATAGAAGGTCATAAACTTGAAAACGTATCGCTAAATTGGCAATTTTCCTTGCGAATTTTTGACAAAAGTAATACGCTGGAGATTTGGTAAGTATCATAAAATTATTTGACACGACACACTAGGCTCGAATAACACTAATAAACAAGATTTTTTAACTTCTTTTATTCCTTATGTCGACTATTTTCCAATCCGCTACAAAACATGCTGTTATCAAATGATTCGGCCTCTCTAGACAACAGGGGTGAAAGAAAGGTCAACAGTAACACAACCGTGAACAAAGGGTTATTCATTCTTGATGATAAAATCACAACACAGAGCATTTCATAACATCTCAAGAAGACTTTGTACATTTCTATAAAAATGATATTACCATGTTTGCAGCCTGTGAGACACGACAGTCATCGGCAAAGGTCAGGATCAACGAATTTAACTGCTATACGATCTAAAACGTGGCGACCATCTCTGCAAAGCATTTCTGAATCTGGAAGCTGATGGAGGTAGCAGCTTGATCATTAAATGAGCAGTGTTTAGTGATAATGTTTCTGTATAGCTAAAAGAAGAGAAATATTAAGATCAAAAGTTCAATCTTGAAAATTACAGTATTTCAAAACGAAATTGCAAGATGCTACCAAATGTACCTTCAGTTCTTGAAGATTAAGTGGTTAGTATTTGCGTAAATTTTAAATTCGAAATCTTCCAACCCCGATGAACATAATTTTGAGCCCATACTAACGAAGTTTGAAAATCCACATGAATTTCTCTTATTCTTCTTCTTCTTTTTCTCCTGAACTGCAAACATCATATTTGTTCAAGGAACTATCAATAAAGTTCTGGATCTTCCAGATTGTGATGGCATATTCAGTAGGGAGGATTAGACAGTATTAAAGAACAAAAGTTAAGTTATATTTTTGTTTATTATCCTGTCTCCATTTCTCCTGTATTGTAAACAGAACAATGCACCGAGTGTAAAATTTGCTGAATATCTGATTTCATTAAGTGAATTTAGAGAAATCAGTGCCAAATTTATATTCTTTTGTCTATTTAAAAGAATTGAGCATCCAGGTCTTTTTCCAGCACAATGCCAGCACAGAAAAAGTCAAAAACAGCAAGCTGTTATAATAATGCTACTTGTTTTATTTAAAAAGATATCTTTCATTCAAGGTTGTAACAATGAATTATTATTTCCAGTCCAAGAACAAGAGATTCTAAGGGACAAAAAATGTATTCAATTATTCCTGATAAAAATCTGCAGGATGAATTGCAAAGAATTAAGATAAAATAATAATAAAATCCTATATTAAGTTATCCAAAATCGGCATATCTTCCTCAAAAGAATCTGCAGTAAGCTGAAACGTTGATAAATTTGCAATGCTATTGAATTTCATTCAGTAAGACGATGTCTTTACAGATTTAGCAAACAAATTGAATTTCCAAGAACATTTTTGTTTCCAATATACATTCAGTTGTTTCTCATGCGGTGAACAGGCTAAAATTTTAATAAAATGAAGCCAGAAGAAGTAATACATTAGTTTATAAAGCATGCATGCGATTAGCATATTAAGTAACAAACAAATATCAACATTTTATGGTAGTTATTTTTGTTTCAACATTCAATGACGATCTATTTAGTTTTTAAATCCAAAATATTTTTATACAACAATAATAGCAAATTAAGCCTATAAACACTCTAGTCACTCTTTATCCGCACATTTCAAGGAATCTACATGTAGTACCTACTTATTCACCACTCAATTCTATATAATCTAAACCGTTTATAAACACGTCCCAATACATGCTCTATGCCTATCCTTTTCCGTTGTTTTATTCTAGGTGTGTATATTGACTGGGAGAGTAAATTTTATCTTGAATACTCCACCTTTTAGTTAAACACAAATCAAAGCAAACATCTTTAGGCTTTAAAGAACTGAAAATTAGTGTGAGATAACCAATACAACACGACAGCTATGTTGCCAATTCAATATCAATTAATTAAAGTTGACCTTTTGTGGCTTATTTTTCAAAATTCCCTTCAACCAACTACCATTGAGTTGTTTTACAGCTTAAATTGATTAGTCCATGAAAGTGTGTAGTTGACTTTGTATCATTGAGTTGTAGTTAATAGATTATCTGAATCTTCAAGAGCCTTTATATCAACAAACGATCTCTAGAGATAGTTTCAAAAATTATATTCTGTTAATTTTCGAACGTTTTACTTAGTATCACAGCGTCCATCAAGCACTCAAGGGGAAGCTTCTAGCATACATAACTATGTGTGCCATCAAGAAATCGTTTTAGTATTTGTGTTTCAAGATGCACAAAAATCATCGACAGCATAACCATTTAAGTAAATGATTTCTACTGATATTGAGCATGTAACCTTGAGTAAAGCTTGAACTAAAATGTAAACACTTCAAATCAAGAATAATTTGTGTATGTTTCAGTAAATGCAACAGAATCTATTCAGATTTGAGCTCAATTTTTTCAGCTGGTTTTTCGAATTCTTTGGTAACTCAATATATACTATTTATGGAAATTTAACTTCAGAGAAATCCTTCTTCCAACATTGAATTTAGCTTAATTTTGGCACGATAAACTTATTTCACATTGATTTCAGAGTTTCTGGTGTATTGAATTTTTTGCTTTATTACAAAATCAATAAACTTTTAATAAAATTGATATTTATCATATTTATATTAACGTGATTAATTTTAATCAAAGAAGTCAAATAAATAAAATAAAACCACATCAATTAAGATGTTAGGGATAGTGGTGATAACTGTAAATTTACAAAAAATAAGTAAACAATCTCAGAGATTATGGGAAAAAAAATCTCGAATTTGAAACACATCTCGAGTTCTATATAATTCAGGAAAATCGCAAAAATGATTTAAAATAAACTAAAAGATCCAACAAATCACCTGTAAACAGACATTGACATTTTCTGAGAATACGAGTCGAGAAGTGCCCAGGACAAGGACGTCTGTGGTGGAGTTTTTGGCGGGAACCACAGTGTGTGAGAGTGGCCTGGGTGGGGTTGCAGAACAGCCCCATTTTGTCTACCAGCAAATGTGCGTCATGGTGTTGCGTCGGAAAAAGTCATAATGGGCCAAATTTCTTGTTTGGTAATTAATGGGTTACATGCTAAAACCTCCAAAGTAGTTTTATATGGCTTTCTAGTTGGCCTATACTGTGCGGTGAAACTTTAGATATTAAGTCAAATGGAACTTTGTCATACATGCCTCCTGTTATGTCTTCTAAATCGCCGAAAAATTACCTCAATCTTTACATCTTAAGTTTCAATTTCAAAAATAAGGTATACATCCCACACCACACCATTCCATATATCATTTATTACATTTCTTCCCTAAATTCAAATCACTAGGTTTGTATACAAAATTAATTTAGCCACCGCCATCACTGCTTATGGAATGTTTTAGGGATTGTCTGTTCATGAGTGCATGATTATATATAAATGGTATTGTCTACTATAAATTCTTCGGATTACAAAGACAAACATCCACAATAGACGACGAATTACAACTTCGACAGACTTGTAGATGATCAATTTTTTTTTCCAACTTCATATTGATCTGTCGCGACAAGCTCTATGGCCAATGGTGGAGGCCTATTTTGATGTAGATCTAGAGGTCAATGGTGGTGGCTCTAGAGTTGGCAGTGGTTTGGTGGACGATCGCCACTTCTACTTCTGGAAGAGCGTATTTGGTTGTGCTTCTGCTTCTCTCTTTATTGCACGCATTGTAGCCAAACAACTTAACGTGGTGGCGATTTATTATAGTCCTATGGTGCATTTGAGATGAAGGAGTGTTGACCATGGATGTGGTGATGATAGTTGTGGATATGATGTGTAGGTGGTGATAGCTTTGGCTATGACATAGAAGTGGTGATGGTGGTAGATTGAAGGTGGCTGCGATAATTTGGGTAGTATCGACGAAGTGGAGTGAATTGGGGTAAGGTGAGGTGAGATGAGATGAAGAGTGATTTTGACTAATTAATTGGATAATTTAAGACCTACTAAAATGTGTGATTTTTGACTAAACATTTAATTGTCTTTGTGGTTGTGACCTTGGGTAATTTGTGATTAACGTATGATCATGAGCATAAATTGTGTAATATTGTGACTGTAACCATAATATATACAATTATATTATAGGTCACAACTTATCAAATGTCATAAATGTGACCACCTAATTTTGAAACATTTATAGTTATGAATTTTTCCTTTCATTACATTTCCATATTCACATTTTAGTTTAGTTAAATGAATGGGCCCAATTTTAGTAGCATGCGCCATGAACCTTTTTTATAGTGTTGGGAAAAAACCAACCCAAATCCCTCAATCCAAACCGATCGATTTAAGTTGATTTTTATGTTCAATTGCGTTGAGTTCGCGTTGAAAATAAAATTTGAGGTCGAATCGGATCAAATTGAATTGGATCTCGAGCTATTAATTAAATCTAACCCAACTCAAAGAATTAAAAAATCAATACCTAAAATGGAAAACCCTAAATAGACACAATAGTGGGGCAAGAGAATGCCATTAATAAGTGTAGTTTCTACACTTATTCGAGATCCTAAATGATGAGTTGTACTGTTCTTTGGATAGAATACTACTTAACTTGTGTTGTATTATACTTTATAAGTAAAACTTGATGTTTGATGGAGAGTTGGAGGAAAGAATGGAAAAATAGTGAAAAGTGGCAAAATCCATAAATCAATAACTAAATTGCAAACAATTCATAGAAGAGACGGGCAATGAAGTAAAGATTGAAGATACCAAGGATTTAATTGGATGCTACTACAAGATAACGGAATCAGATTGCTAGATGGCTAAAATGAAGCAAATCCAAAGTTTGGGAACTAAAGTGCAAATAACAAAAAGTTGCGTCGAATCTCACGAGGAAAATTTGATAGTGCAAGGGTCAATTGGATGAGGAAAGAAGTAAAAGGGAAAAAATATGGTCAAAGTATTATCATACAGCAATTTTCAGCCGAAAAAGTTATGCTTTAGATTTTTAGCCTCATATTGAGACCAATTTTGGCATAGCAAACTTTCGAATTGAAAAAATGATACTTCTAAAAGAATTGTAGCCCTCCGAGTTAGCTTTTAAATACACTTTGAATCACCTCAATCGAGTATTAGGAGAGAAAGTTATGATAAAAATAGTGAAACTATTTGGCTGTCGAAAAAATCCTGTAGGGAAGGCGCTCGCGCCCCAAAAAAAAAAATGAGGTGACTAAGGCGCCCCAAACCAGCCAAGTGCACGTAGTAGATATGACTAGGCTCACACCTCAGTACAAAAATGGAAAAAAATCCTATTTTTCTTATTTTTATTTTGGTAACAATGCAATGTAATCTCTTTGGCATCCTTTAAATTCCAAACTCGATCGGAATGTGAAGAACTTCCCTTCGACCTAAATTTCATCATATTCTACACAATTTGGAGGCAAAGAACAAATCTATACATCAATTCAAATTAAATCATACAAGAATTTTGAAGATTCATAGCCCGGTTTCAATATTTGAGTCAAGAACGTGGATTTCTCATACTTCTTCCATTTTTCTTATTTCCGAGTGATGTGTTTCCAATTATTCTAGTATAATTTAATTATAAGAATGTTAGGCCAAGTTTTTTATTGTATTGAATGAATGATAAACCCCGTTGTTTGTTTATTTTAATTCAAGAAAATTATTTCAGTATTTCTTGATTTTTTTTATTGGTTTTGCATTCTCGTTAAACTATTTTATTGTTAGATCACCAATTAGATAGTAAGTTGCTTGTTGTAGTATAGAAATACTCACAATAGTTTAAAATGCGCCAAAATCACTGCTCACTGCATGGGCAATATGTTAGAAATAATATCTATGACACGTGCAACCATGTGTGATAATCCTGTGAATCAATGTATGTTTTTCATATGAATTCGTACTAGGAATGAGATCAGGTCGTGTTAAATATAG